TTGTGTTATTTGACTTTCCTGCAGGCTTTATCAAGACAAACATTATCTCATGCTCTCACATGGACCTGCTGTTTATGTAAAATGTACAGTACGTGAACACGTGTGCGCCTGCTTCATGTGTTATTCTAGTACATGGTTTCCCAGCTCTATTCACACTGAAAAAAAACTGTCCCACTTAAATTAAATCAACACAGAATCACAACCACAGGATCAAGATGTGTTATTCTTCTCTGAGTACTACACACAGACGTAATGAGCTGTAACATAATACCGCTTTTTAAGAGAACTAAAAACATTAGAGTCTCATGTTACTTGGAGAGACCCAGGAGAGAGGGACTGCGGAGAGATTACAGTAAATGTGGTTTCAGAGGTCCAGAGACTTAAACACTGCACGGTTTTGTCGACTTAACGTCACACCGGCAGCAGAGGAACGGCCTTATTATCAGATATTTTACAAGTGTTGTATCCACTCAGCCGTGGTCAACGTGATTATTCCTCCACTGAAGCAGCTGGTTTCATGCGCCGCTGAGGAGTCGCTGCGCACCTTTTTAAAGATGTCAGGTTTGAAAAAACAGTGAACTGATGGAGCAAAATCAAACGTGATGTAGACCAGTGCACATCATTCAGTCTTTATTTAAGGACGCAGCTCCTGGTGGGGGGGTGGGAAAGAAATCGGAATAAAATAATATCAAAACAAAAGACTGCAACAAAATATACGAATGTGAGCTGGTACATAAGTTCTGCTTAGACATAGTTAACTGTATGAATAACATACTAGAGACAGATCTCAGTCTGAATCCAGCATTATGCATATTGGGTGTTTTGCCAATGGAAGTTAATCTTCCCTCAGAGGTGTGTTCCTGGGTGAAACAGGCCTTAATAATGGGTAAGCAATAATAAGTATTACGACACTGAGAATCTTTTTTTGCCTTTTTTTAGTTTACAAACATATATTAAAGAGGTTAGTAAGTCAAAGTTTTAATCACAGAAAAATAATCTAAACAAAAGACGACAGTCTACAATGTCCTTGATTATGTATTTTTAAAAAGAGAGGGAGTGTGGAAGCTTCCCATCATGCATTGTCTTTTGTGGTGTAGAGTCAATGACTGACCCCGTCACATCTGTTAGCGAGCGTTACATACTGAGTAACACACTCCACAGAGATGGGAGCGCCGAGCTAAACAGGGAAATGTCTTTAGTGGAGTGTTCACTGGGTGTACAGACTGTGAAAAGTCAATAAAAGCCACTCAACAGTGAGAATCGACCAATTCACAGAACGATCATATCAAGCCGAACGTTTAGCGTCACTCTCTCTTTTTTTTTATCTGCGCTGTTATTCTCCATCCCTTCACCTTTTCTCTTTCCCAGTTCTTTCATTTGCATCTTTTCATTTCACTTCACCAACAACTGGAAACTGGAGGTGACATCACTGGGAGACTCTACAAGTGTGTGTGTGCGCGCGCGTATGTGTGTGTGGTTTTCTCTGTAGAAACAAAAGGCCCTGTGTAGGTAAATGTTGGAGCAGTGTGTGTTTTGCTATTTATAACCCATGGGAGGCAGGGAAAGAGAGAGACACTGGTGTTCCCGACTGTGTGTGTGTGTGTGTGTGTGTGTGTGTGTGTGTGTGTACTGTAGCAGCCTTTGTTTCCTTGTATAAGCATGTTCTCCTCTCCTTTTCCTCAGAATAATAGCCTTGTTATTCTTTGCTGTCATTACCGAGAATATGTGTGCATAGCTCTGTGTGTCTGTGTGTGTGTGTGTGTGTGTGTGTGTGTGTGTGTGTGTGTGTTTACTGAGGGATTTCTGTAATTCCAGCCATGGTCGGCATTCAGTCAGTCTCTCTGCATTCATACCTCCTAATATGGAGGAGGAGTTCTGACACCACACACACACACACACACACACACACACACACACACACACACACACACACACACATACTGCTGTGTCACATTAACCCAAACAGAGTGATGCTAATAAGAACACTGTGTGTGTGTGGGTGTGTGTGTGTGTGTGTGTGGGTGTGTGTGTGTGTCTGTGTGTCTGTGTGTGTGTACACATCCACTTGTACAAACAGCATGATCATTCTATTCTATTCTATTCTATTCTATTCTATTGCCTTTCACCCATTTCCAGTGGCATGTTGGCATCAGGCCAAACCTCTATATGAGTGACATTTACTTCACACACTGCAGAACAACAGCACGGAGATGATGTCACACCAAGTTATTTCAAGGCTTGCTCTCTCTCTCTCTCTCTCTGTCTCTGTCTCTCTCTCATTCTCTCTGTGTGTTTAAAGATTTGGTTCGAGGATCAAGACAGGTTTGTGCAATAGGTGTTTGCTCAAGCCTGTCTTGTGTGTGCAGCAGTTTATGAGTGTGCGGCATGTGAATAAGTGTAGATGTCTTCAGTATGTGTGAAGGTCTATGAAGCTTTGCGTGTGTGTGTGTGTGGGTTTATTTAAATGTATGAATAATTGTATGTGTGTATATATATATATATATATATATATATATCTGCAGGTGAATGTTTGTCGCTTGCTACATTATTATCCACATGTGTGTTTATTTTGTGAATGTCTTTATGTGTTTACAGCTGTGTTTTCTGTGTGAGTCAGTGTGCATTTTTGTGTGAATATGCAAGTGCATCTGTGTGTGTGTGTGTGTGTGTGTGTGTGTGTGTGTGTGTGTGTGTGTGTGTGTGTGTGTGTGTCATAGAGACAAACCCCCCTCCCTCTTTT